CGTTAAACTCCATCTCCTAAATCTTTGCCTACTCACTTTCTATGTCTATTTGCAGACTCTTTGCCCTTTTCATAACTTACTTCCATATTTATTTCTGTGTCATCAAATTTAGCTATCATATGTTTGCTGTCTTCATCTAAGACTCATGTACTCTTAGACATCTGTGATTAAAAGGGAGACATGGCCTAGTGGTATTGTCACTAGACTATTAATCCAGAAACTCAGCTAATGTTCTGGGGGACCCAGATTTGAATCCTGTCATGGCAGATGGTGGAATTGGAATTCAATTAAAAAACCTGGAATTAAAAATCTACCGGTGACTATGAAACCATTGTCGGAAACACCCATTCAGCTCACTGATATCCTTTAGGGAAGGAAATCTGCCATCCTCACCTCGTCTAGCCTACATGCGACTTCAGACCCACAGCAATGTGGCTGACTCTCAACTGCCCTCTGAAATGGCTAAGCAAGCCACTCAGTTCAAGAGCAGCTATCGACTTCAATGGATTTGCCCAGTAATATTTCAATGGCTAAGAATATTTCAGTGTTTCTTTAGTACTTGCATAATTTGCCACAGTGAACAAATTGCTGAATTTGTTGTTACGTTAGCTATTAAAAGTAATTGACAATGTATTGTTTTGCTAATACAGATACTTGTTCAACAAAATCCACTCAATTCTTAAACTCTATTTTTGGTTTGTTGCTTGTATTTATTTCACATTTGTCAATACCCATCTAATCTGAACCTAATCAATCTTACTGTTTTTAAAAAAAAATTCAAATCAATGGGCAATGTGGAACAAAGCCTAGTTCCATAATTTTTAAAAAAATCTTCCATTGTCTCATTTCTATTGGCTGCACAGACCTTTTTTTAAACACTGCAGTATAGATCTACAGGCACCAATGAGCCTCAGCTATCTTATTCATACGGCTATTCTTCATGTATAACTTAGACAGAGACTGCTGCAAGCTAATTTAATGAGGAATAACTTGACAGTTAATAAGATCAGATCCCTTATGCAATACTTTCCTGTAGAGGTCACTGAATATCAAGGAATAACAATAACCATGGCAGATTTTACAACTCAAGCTCACAAGCACTGAGGCCAACGGCAGCCTAAGCACTGTCTCAGCTGAGATCAGTTAATACTGAATGGAAACCAGACCCCTGGTTCATTTAGCCAAGTACTACTTTAAGTCTTCATCCTAGCTAGAACCATGTTTTTAATAAAGGTAACCCAAGAACATCACAAAAGGAAAGATCTGATCAGCGACAGGTTATTCTAGCCAACGTTCTCTTTTGTGAACATGCATACTGCCAGCAATCTCACCTGTGAAACAACTGCTGTAACAATGCATCACCCATCTGATATCCTCCTCACAGTTAAGAGCAATGAAATGTGATTGATGAAGTCACCACACTACTTTCATCATAATTTACAAGTAAAATGTAATCTGTTTTAACTCCGCTGAAACAGATAATATCGTGTAAGATCAATACATTATGAACGTCTTTCCTATTTTAAAAATTCCAACATCCGAGACAAAATTCAAGATTAAAAATAAGACAGACCCACAGATCACAAAGAGCAGACGGAGGTTGGGCTGTAATATATTATGACATCACAACGCCCTAGGCACAACATTATTCACAAAGTTCAGTTTGCAAATGAGCAAAGGAGTGCACAGATTTTAAATGTGGTTACAGCTGTTATTTTTTTCATAAAACTGTCACCAGGTTAATGTGCCACTGTTTATTTTGAATTTGCCACCAGAAGCTAAAACCACCAAATAAATATTTCATTATTTTAACCAATCTCTGCTGGACAGGAGTAATTAGTAACTAATTTGCAAAATCTGTGATCTGGTGGTTATTTAATAAAATAACTAGTTCAGTCAAGAAAGGAATATTTCAGCCTACTTCTCACTATCCAGTCTCCATTTCCTAAAATCTTTCACTAATCAGATGATGCAAATAAAACTAGTGTGTAGTTCTTTAACAAGCTTAACTATATACTGCAATAATTTATAACACTTTGCCATATTGTTTAAACAAAACAAGATTTCAAAATAAAACAACACCAGAGCGTTTCTTGCATCAGATGTCTTTTTTCGTGGAAGCTATTACCAGGATAGAATTATCTACAAAAGAGCCTAAGGGGTATAATTACTCGGAAAGAGAATTTGAAATACGGTCCCAATGAGACCCTGCATTCAGACATATAATATAGGAAGCCATGACACCTTTTCTGTTTCATCATATATTTATGCTGCCTTTGTGTTTTTGGGTTGCACAGTAGGGAGGGGAAAGAGGTGTCAAGTGAGATGTGGCTCTGTTATTTCTCTGTGCTGCAGCACTAGAATCATCAATGCACAATTTTTACAGAAGGTCTCCAGGCTCCCATTCACAACCAGAACAGTAACATTTTCCAATTTTCTTTTGGAACATTTACAGCTGTTATTGTACTGAATGCTGAAAGGAAAATCTAACAGAAATTGAGACATGAAGGAAGGACAGAAAAGAGGGGGAAAAAAAATCAACATTAACACTACACAAATATTGACTTTACAAAGTCAATATCATGTTATCTTTACCCCTTAGGAACTAAAATGAAAGAGGGTGATTGTAGTTTTGAAACAAGCAAGCAGTATGTGTAGTCAATACTGCTTTTCTGTAATATTTCTTTTTGATCCCAGAGATCAAAATATGGAAAAAAAAATGGAAAAAATACCTGTAACTCCATAATTTGATCTGCTATAATCAATGATCAAGCTCCCTAAAAGATTCAATCTACTGGTAAATTGTTTCAAATGCAATAGAGATCCAGTACATTCCCAATCCATCTTGTTGAATTTCCCAAAACCTATAAAATCACTTCCCTATTCTTTCATTATATAATGTCTGAGCCACATATAATACATCAATGCCTAAACCAGATTTTCATTTGTTTGTGCCTCAATTTTTGCCCCTCTTAAGTGTGCTGACTTGTGCTAATGCTCAGTTGAATGGACAGCACCTGTCTTCTAGCAATGTGTTTTGCTAGCCATTCTATGTATGTTCCTCACCAAGAACTGCAGCATGGTTATCATCATCTTGGATAAAATCAGCTAACTCAGCATAGATTGAATCTGGGATTATACATCTGTGTGGCTCAGGATCACATCACACTAAAGGCATGGAACTGTTCCCACATTTTATCAAGCATTGCTTTGATTATTCAGGATTTCAACACTCAATGGCTAGAAATCACATAATTTCACTCAGAGCTATTTGCAACTAAATACTTTTGGAAATGGATAGTTTGTAGTTAAAGCTTTTCAACTAGAACAGCAAATATGGAATATGAAGCTTGCTCCAAGATTGTAGCCCATGAAAAGTTGAAGATGATTCAGAGAAAATCTTGAATGATTTATCATGCGATTAGCAAGTTCCCCTCAAAGTCACACAACCATTTAAAGATGAAACTACATCACCATTCCTGTATTGTCATTGAATCAAAATCCTGCAAATTCCCTTCTTAACAGTACTGTGGGTTTACCCACCCCACGTGGACAGCAGCAGTTGAAGAAGGTTGTTTACCGCCATGTTCTCAATGATAATTAGGAATGGGCAATAAATTCTGGCCCTGTCAGCCACACCCATATCCCTTGAATAAATAGATTTTAAAAATGTGTTACTACTTTGGAGCATAGTTAGATGCAGGGAGGTGTATGCTCTGGCACAGGTAAGCAACAGGTCAATAAAGGAAAAAATATTCTGCAACATTGCAAATGTAGATACTGAATCAATAATTAAATAAGTATTGGAATATGAAAATGACTGAACTTAGCTGCACCACCTGTTACCCTCAGATACCATGTTGTAGCAGGCTATTTAAGTTTGTTCATGAAGCTGGCCACTTCAAAATTCCCAAAATCATCTGGTGTCAATGAATTGTGTAGCATCAAGGCTCAATCCCTACGCACACGTAGGGATAAGCTACTAAATAAATACTGCTCACTGAATATCCTGCTGTCTTTCCAAAATATTGTGTTTCAGATTATTTCAAATTTCCAGCATGTTTTTTCTTTAATACTAATGTTGCAACTTATTTTTCCAAAATATTTATACAATTCACTAAGCCTACACTAGTGTACGAAGGGAAATCATTATTTATCATTTGCCTATTTGAATTTATTGCAACAAGAAATATACAGAGGGTACACTGGAAAGTACAATGCTGGAGTGACTAGTAAACAGTAATGTTGCTACAATAGTTCAAGATGCACTGTCAGCTATACCTTTAGGACTGCTGTACTATTTCTGTACTCTCGTCAACTAGACCAATGGTGCAAACTTCACACTGTTCATTATCTGGACCTATTTCTTTGAGTATGGATGTAAGGGTCTTTGTGGATAAATAACATTTTTGCATACATTAACTTTTCTGACTGAGCAATATTGCAATATAGATGGCAGCATTATCCTTGAATTCAAACACCATCCTGACTTGAAAATATATTGTCGTTGCTTCATTGTAATTGAGTCAGAATTCTGTAAGTGCCTTCCTTGCAGTCTAACTGCACCATAAGGATTGTTGCACTTCATGAAGACAGCTCACAACTTTCTCAATGGCAATTAGGGATAGGCAATAAGTGTTGGCTCTGCCAGTGATAGCTGCACATATTAAATTAATAAAAGTATTAAAAAATGTTTGAATTAAATCCCTTCCTTTCTTTGTCAATACTTCATTATTACCATATGTTTGTAAATAAGTTTAATTTAGCCCACACATATAGCTACAGATATCAATAAGACATAAAATGCTGACATTCTGAAATGGATTTCACACAAAACAGAGCTAACTTTCCTTTTTCAGAAGCAGATTAAACCTCTGTTTCTAGCATGTTGCTTTTCTTTATTCTTTTCAGATTTCTATTAACTGTGGGTTTCTTTTTTCTCTAACTGAACAGGAAGGGACATGCTTCCTAGATCTGAAATTAGAAACTGCGTGAATTACCTTCATTGATTTGGGCTCAGTTAATTTCAGACCTTTTGTAGTGGTCGCTCCCATAGTGATGGTAGAAGAAGTTGAGGCCCTTCGACTTCGAGCAGATGATGTTCTTGATGAAAGTCTGCTATCAACTGGAATAAAATGATGTATATATTTAGAATCCTTCAGTTTTACATCAGTTTCAGTTGGAATATCAGACAGCCTGTAATAAGATAAAAAGGCACAGATTATATCTTGTTAGTTGCTGATAACTAGAACCTACTTATAACAATGTCAACCTAGCAGACCTTTCTAATCAGGGACAGAGATCTTCACTGCAAGTATACACATCCATTCACAAAAAAACAATCCTGGCAATTTGAAAATTCTAAATGGAAATCTTTCCTGCCATATCTACACTCAACTACCATTTCTTACTATTCACCCAATCAAACCTTATTAAAAGCGGAGACTTCACATGAATGGGCCAGGAGAGTATTTATAAACAATTTTAATATGTTAGTGATGCTTGCTTCAGTTAATTTATTTTTGTACATAGTAACGTTTGGTTTTTATTTAAACCAATTTCATTTAATTTTAACTTTATTTAAAAATGTAAAATGCAGTGATGCAGTTCTGTCGATTAATCACTAGTTCTTCAGAATCCTCACCAAATGCTAATAGTCTCCAATAGGATCACAACACCAGTTAGTGGACGTCAGAATTGTATGAATCCTACCTACTATTGCAGCAATTCAATGCAGCAGTGGCAATTGAGAAATGGATAAGTTGTCTGGAGTTTCCACCAGATCCTTAACAATTTCAATGTGCCTTACAAGGGCAGAAGAGGCTTTACCTGGAGGTTCCTCTTAAGTCCTTGAGTGTGGATAGCAGTTCCTCATCTTCTCTACCAGTGACACTAGCCTTCAAGTACTCATGATAACTGAGGAGGGACCTGCAGCTCTGCAGGATCCCTCACCACGCCAGGGCCAACCAGACCTCAGGAAGTGATGTACATTTGCCAAAGTCATTCCAGGTCATGGGTCAATAGGGACAGCAACAAGCCCCTAATATGGTTTATGTTTCAAATTCATTCATGGGATGAGAACTTTCCTGGCTGAACCAGCATTTGTTGCCGATATTTAGTTGCAAGATTAACAATTTCAATTGATGCTTCATAGGTTTGACAATTGATGCGTTGTAGGTTTGACAATTTTTGCTGTTGTGGTGAATATATACCCAACTGCTGTTCTCAGTTTCTCACAATTGACTACTTGATTATCATCATGCTAGTTGCTGTAACTCAACATCACCGCACAATTATCCTCATCAGAATTTTCTTCCTCACTCTCTTCATGTGTGATTGAAGTATATTGGTCTGAGCTGGTTTCCGTTTGCTTGCAATGGAGCACCACAATTACTGGGTTCATTAGGATGATTCCCATATAGAGAGATTGTCTTATGAGCAAAGGCTAAACAGTTTGGGACACTACTTACTGCAGTTGAGAAAAATGAGAGGCCACCTTATTGAAACACTTAAGATTCTTAAGGGGCTTGACAGGGTAAATCCTGAGAGAATGTTTCCTTCATGGGAGAATCTAGAATCACAGGGAACAATCTCAGAATAAAAGATGTCAATTTAAGACTGATAATGAGAAGGAATTTCTACTCTCAGAGGGTTGAGTCTTTGGAACTCCTTGCCACAGACAGCTGTGGGGGCAGAGTTCATGGGTATATTTAAGGCTGAGATAGACTCTTGCTCAGTAGGGAAATCAAGAGTTACGGGGGAAAAAAAAAAATCAGGAAAAGCAGATGTGAGGAATATCGGATCAACCATGATCTAGTTGAACAGTGGAGCAGGCTTGAGGGCAGAATGGTCTAGTTTTGTTACTATTTCTCATGGTTTATCACTAATGACTGTAACATGTTATAAACTTCTGCTGCTATCCAAGTATTTGCATTTGCATTTCTGACTTGCATTCTCTGTCCAGAGTTCAATGTTGGTATTTCACTACCTGCTCACAGGCCATGAATCTCTTATAATCTTCTTGTCTTTGAAGAAGTAAGTCCTGTGATTTGGAATGGTTACATAATTGGTTGCTAATCAAAATAATTAACACTTGCCTTCTGAGCCTAAGTTCTGCTGCGGAAGGTAACCTCTTCTCCATTGGCATTGCACAACAATTGATGATCATTGATTTTATTGTATGTTTCAGCGAGGATAGTTGGATGGTGATGTGATATGAGTCACTCACACTTAGTACAGATCTTGAAATGGTTTGCCAGTGAATTGTGATCCATTGTCAGACACTCTGTTCTGGTATGCTAAATAAACTGAAAATTAGCACTCATTGTGCCACAATGGTTGTATTTGTCGTGTTGTTAAGTTGTTGAACAATGGGAAATCTAGAGAAGTAATCGGTCACAAAGATGTAATCCTTTCCTTGCACTCTGAATAAGTCTGATTTTACTTTTGTCCAAGGTGTGGTTGCTAAATCATGTGGATCTAGAAATTCCCTTAAATGCTGGAGTTTGTACAGTGGGCATACGAACATCCTAACTTATCCCTGGCCAGTACACAAGTTCACTTGTAAGCTCCTTGAACATACAAATCTGAAAATTAGAAGCAGAAGTATGACAATTTGCACTTGATCACTGCTCCATCATTCAATAAATTCATGGTTGATCGACATGTGTTCCAAATTCTATATTCCCATCTACCTCTGACAACCTTTGGTTCCCTTGCATAACAATAATCTATTTACTTCCACCTTGAAAATATTCAATGAGACAACCTCCATCCCTTTTTGAAGCAGAGTTTCAAAGTCACACATTTATTTAATTAATTTTTAAATATCCATCTTAAACGCAGTTTTTGCCCTTTCAAAATGGATATAAAATTCAATCATATGATGATCACTGATACTTGGAGGTGTCTTTACTCAGATCTTTCTTAATTATGTCACAACGCACAATACCAAGTCTAGTTCAGCCTGTTCTCTGATTTGTTCCAAAACAATGCTGCCCAATATTTCTTCTTATATGCTTGGTTATGGTACATACTCATAAGTTATGGTTAGTATTCAGAGACCTGTAGATTACTCCTACTAGCAATTTGCTTCCCCTACTGTTCCTCATTTCCACTCGAACTGATTCTATATTCTGATCTCCTGAACCAAAATCATCTCCAACTACTGCACCATTACCATGTTTAATTAGGAGGGTTATCCGTCTGCCTTTATCTAGCTCTCAACTTTTCTTGAATGTCATATATTCAGAGCACATTCCTTGTTATGCTGCAGCCACGTATCTGTAATGGCTATCAGATCATAAGTATTCACTTCAAAGTTCTCTACCAGATCACTTACTTTGTTATGAAAGTTATGTACATTTAGATACACACCCTCTACTTTCACTTGTCTTTGTTACCTTCATATCATCTAGTCTTGACTGCTGGTATATTCTAAGTTTATTTTCTTTCTGTCCCTTCCTGCCATTCTCGGACCTTCATTTCCCATATTGTTATTATTTTGCTTTTCTGCTTCAACTCAATCCCTTGATTTGTTACATTTATCCAAACTTGATCCCTCATCCACCTCGTTTAGTTGAAAGCCCTCTCTATTTCCCTAGTTGTGAGCCTTGCAAGAACACCAGCAGTCCCAGGTAAAGACAGTTCCTAGTACAGGGGTGTCAATGCCCCATGAACCGTAACCGACTTCTCCCACACTAGTCTTTGAGTCACGAATCTAAACTTACTCATCCTCTGACAATTTGTACGTGGGTCAGGTAGTAATACAGAGATTATTACTTTTGAGGTTCTGCTTTATTATTTGGATTTCTCATACTGTATCAGCAGAATGTCTTTTTTAGTTCTACCTGTGTAATTGGTACTAATCTGGTTTATGACCACTAGATGCTCCCCTTTCCCCTTCTCCAACCAAGAATTATTGCAAACTCTGACATTAGGCTGTCTAAACTCACACTCCTTGCTGCACAGAAGTGTATCAACTCTCCTTGTTATAATGTTCCCTAGTACCGCTACATTTCTTCTGACTCCTACTTCTTGAACGATCTCCTGTACCAAGTGTCATGGTCAGTTAATTCAGCATTCCTGCAGCCTTCAATCACATTAAACAAGCTGAAAAAAAAAACCTCAAACCTTTTATTTCCTTTTGTTTTGAAACTACGCGCCATTCTCACTTGTTTTGCCATCTGCCACTGAAAGAGACACATTGGTACTACCCTCATAATTTTTCACACTCCTCCCAATATGCATGGCAGTCCACAAAATGTCCAATATTCTTGTGAACCTAAATATGAATGCAACCATAGTATTCGGAAGAACCACTTTAAGTAATCTTGGCATAACAAGTTGAAAAACTTTTCAAACAGCTATTCCAAAGCTTGATCTTCTGCGAGGCTACTCAATCAGAGTTACTCAACAAAAGTAATTCCATATTGTAGCAACCAATACTTTCACAAGACACAACAACAAACAATAATTTCTTTTAGATTTAGAATAAACATATTTACCACACCTATGTGGGGTATGTAGAATATAGAAACATTGTATGTTTTTTGTGACAAAGTCATAAAATTCTAATACTGAAATAAAATAAATAATACTGATCAATTTAAAAAAAGACTACTTCTCTTCTAAATGTGATTGATGGTGCAGACCAATACTGTGCTCATGTTTACCTTTGGAGATTAAATCTGTCTCAGGATTTCGAGAAGTTGCCAGCAATGGTTTTGATGAAGGTGAGGAAGAAAGTTCCAATGAAGCGACTGTTGAACTTCCAAACTGCTGTTGCTTCATTTTGGTAATAGCCTCTAATCTTGCAAGTGCATTCTTTTGACTTGTTTCAACAGTTGCCAGGAATAATTTACAAAACTGTGAAATGAAGAAGTACATTACATTGTAACTTTCTTTGTATTTACATAAATCAGTATACCTAATTCCAGAAAACAAGTTACTATTAAATTAACTACAAGTCAGAAAAATAGTCTTCCACCCTTAATAAATGAAAAACAAATACTGAAACATCTCTCATATTTTAGGAAGAATTGTTTTTGTACTTTATGTGGACAAATTGTTGACGGTGGCTTTCGCAGACTGAAAATGGCTAATAACGGGTCCTGTTCTTCAAAAATAAGAGGCATGGAGTACAAAAGCAGGAAAACATGGGAAACCTTTATAAAATACTGGCACATGCCTCAACTTGAATCCTGGGCATCATATTCTAGGAAGGACATTAAGATGTTGCAGAGGGTACAGAAAATATTTACAAGAATAGTTTCAGGAAAGACAGAATTCAGTTACATGTGGATCCACAGGAGAAGCTGGGTTTTTCTTCTGAGAAGAGATGGTCAAGAGGAGATCTCATAGAGATGTTCAAAATCATGTTGAATGGGGACAGAGTAAATCGCAAGAAATTGTTCTCATTGGTGGAAGGCTCAAGAACCATAGGATACTAATTTAAGGTCACAGTTTAAGGGTATGGGGTAGGCCACGCAGGACTGAGAATGAGGAAAAAAATTCCTCACCAAGAGAGCAATGAACTTGTGGAATTTTCTGCCACAGAAAATGGCCAAGGCCAAAACATTGAATGTGTTTGAGGAGTTTGATGTCGTTCTTTGGTTTAAAGGGAGCAAAACGTATGGAGAGAAAGTAGAAACAGAATGATCTGCCATGGTCATACTGAATGGCAGAGTAGGTGTGAAGGGCCGAATGGCCTACTCCTGCTCCTATTTTTCCATGATTCTGAGGTGAATGTCAAAAGGACCGAAGGAAACATTTTTACAAAAAGCTTACATTTACAAAATGCTCTGGAATGCACTGCCTGAGGAGGTGGAGGAGGCAGATTCAATGAATGACAGAATTGTCACAGTGCAAGATGAGGCCATTTGGTCCATTGTGTCTACACTGCCTGTCCAAAAAAGGCAATGCACCTAGTCCCATTTCCTCCCCTTGTAATTTGGCACGTATTCGCTTTCAGATAACAATCCAACTCTTTCTTGAATTCCTCGATTTAACTTGCCTCTTCATATTATCAGGCAGCACTTTGAAGAACTTTACTTGCAGTTAGGAAAAGTTTCTCATGTCTCAGTTCCTTCTTTTGCCAGTTGATCTAAATCTGTGCTCTCCCATTCTTGATCCTTTCAGAAATGGGAACAATTTTTTCCCTATCTACTCTGACCAGACCATCCTAATTTTGAATACTTCTATCAAATCTCCATTTAACGTTCATTTCTGCAAGGAAAACAGTCCCAATGTTTCTAATATATCTACATATCTGAAGTACCCAACACCTTTCACATGAATTGTTTCTGCACTCTCTCTGAAATCTTTATATCTTTCCCAAGGTGTGGCACCAAAACTGGACACAATGCTTCAGTTAAAGTCAAACCCGAATTGTATACAGGTTCAACATTACCTAAAACAAAAACAGAAAATGCTGGAAGAACTAAGCAGGTCTGACAGCATCTGTAGATAGAGAAACAGAGTTAATGTTTTGAGTCTGATATGACTCTTCATTTTCTTTTAAGTTTTTATTTTAGATTTCCAGTGCAGCATTTTGCTTTTAGCATAATCTTCTTTCTTTTGTATTCTATGATCCTTTTATTAAAAGTTAGAAAGCTGTATGCTTTATTAACATGCTCTCAACCTGCCACCTTCAAAAATTTATGGACATCTACATCTAGGTCCTTCTGCTCCTGCACCTTCTTTATAACTGTACACCTTATTTTACATTGTCTCTGCATAGTCTATCAAAATTCACTTTGCATTATTTTGCATTTGCCCATGCATTACAACAACTTGTCTATATCCATTTGAGGTTCCACTGTAATGTTGGGGTTGAGGATAAATGCCAACATGGACTGAATAGACCAGTCTCCTTTACTGCTGTAATTATAGTGATGGAGTCATAGTGTTGTACAGCACAGACACAGACCCTTCAGTCCAACTTGTCTATGCTCACCAGATATCCTAAATTAATCTAATCCTTTCTGCCAGCATTTGGCCCATCTCCCTCGAAACCCTTCCTATTCATATAGCCATCCATATTCCTTTTAAATGTTGTAACTGTACCTACCTCCACTTGCTCTGGCAGTTCATTCCATACACGCACCAACCTCTGCATGAAAAAGTTGCCCCTCAGGACCCTTAAATCTTTGCCCTCTCACCATAAACCTATGCCCTCTAGTTCTGGACTCCCCTACCCTGGGGAAAAGACCATCTATTTACCCTATTCATACTCCTCATGCTTTTACAAACTTCCACAAGTCACCCTTCAGCTCTGATGCTCCAGGGAAAACAGCCCCAGCCTAGTCAGCCTCTCCCTATTGTTCAAAGCCCCAAAGTCTGGCAACATCCTTGTAAGTCTTTTCTGAACCCTCTCAAGTTTCACAACATCTTTCCTATAGCAGGGAGACCAGAACTGAATGCAGTATTCCAAAAGTGGCCTAACCAATGTACTGTACAGCTGCAACATGACCTCCCAACTCCTATACTCAATGCACTGACTAATAAAAGCAAGCGTACCAAATGCCTTCTTCACCACCCTGTCTACCTGTGACTCCGCTCTCGAGGAACTTTGAAGCTGCACTCCAAGGTCTCTTTGTTCGGCAACACGCCCCAGAACTTTAGCACTAAATGCATAAGTCCTGCTTTGACTTGCCATACCAAAACATAGCACTTCACATTTATCTAAATTAAACTCCATCTGTCCTGTTGTATTCTGATGTAACCTTCTTCGCTGTCCACTACAACACCAATTTTGGTGTTATCTGCAAACGATGGAAGCTAGAGAACTTGGGGAAATAAACTGATGACACAAATACATTAGCAAGGAGCCCAGCTATCGCTTCCTATAATGTTCTGGGGTACACCTGATCAGGTCCTGGGGATTTATCCGCCTTTATGCATTTTAAGACGACAAGCACCTCCTCCTCTGTAATATGGACATTATCCAAGATGTTGCTATTTATTTCCCCAAGTTCTCTAGCTTCCACATCCTTCTCCACAGTAAACACTGATGCAAAATACTCATTTAGAGATCTCATCCATCTCCTGCAGTTCCACACGTAGGTGTCCTTGCTGATTTTTAAGGGGCCCTATGCTCTCCCTAGTTACTCTTTTGTTTTTAATGTATTTGTAGAATCCCAAGGGATTCAAAATGATATTTGCCAAAGCTATCTCATGTTCCCTTTTTGCCCTCCTGAGTTCCCTCTTTTTAGCTCATACTGCCTTTATACTCTGCTAGGGATTCACTTGATCTCTGCTGTCTGTACCTGACACGTGCTTCCCTCTTTTTCTTGATCACAATCTCAATCTCTTTAGTAATACAGCATTCCCTACACCTACCGGCTCCCCGCCGCTGCCCCCCCACCCCCAATCACCCTAACAGGAATGTACATCTCTGGATTCTCGTCATCTCACTTTTGAAGGCTTCCCACTTTCCAGCCGTCCCTTTACCTGTCAATATCCGCCCCCAATCAACTTTTCAAAGTTCTTGCCTAATACTTTCAAAATTGGCCTTCCTCCAAATTAGAACTTTAACTTTTAGATCAGGTCTATCTTTTTCCATCAATATTTTTAAAACCAATAGAATTATTGTCACTGGCCCCAAACTACTTCCCCACTGACACCTTAGTCACCTGCCCCACCTTATTTCCCAGATTTTGCTTCTTCTCTACTGGTACTTCCTTATACTGAACAAGAAAATGTTCTTCTACACATGTAATAAATTCCTCTCCATCTAAGCCCTAAACACTATGGCAGCCCAGTCTACGTTTGGAAAGTTAAAATTCCCTACCATTACCACCCTAATATTCTAAGAGATAACAAAGATCTCCTTACAAATTATGATTGGATATAATGGGCCAGATCATGCAGTCAGTAGCAAACTACTGATGCAAGCCATTGATTGCGCTTACACTTGCCCAGAGATGCCCTATGGGGTTTTCCACTGGAACTTGTGGTGATTAGAAATCCAAAACAGCATACCACCCTCTAAAGAGGATTTAGGGCCTGTATGAACAGGACAAAGAACTGTGTATATGTTACAGCAATCAACTTGAAGAAATGGAACTAAGTCACAGCGCGTAACAGGCCGGTGGGGGGAGTTCTAAGTTAGAATCCAGTAGGCTAGATTTCAATGTCAAGTAGCACAAAGAAATAAAGGGACGAATGAGAGAAAGAAATAAAAGATGTTAAAAAGAAATATTATTTAACAGTCTCCAATGATTAAAATCTGAAGAACTGAGATTCTCCGATTTTCATATGTTTTCATGATTTATTGACATTGTTGGCAGTGTTACTGCCCAACTCTAATTGGCCTCAAAGGTATGTCACCTTCTTGGACTACCTACAGTCCATGTGAAAAAGGTACAGCCACAGTACTGTTAAAGAGGGAATTCAAGAATTTTGATTCAGAGACAGTGAAAGTGAAAGAAGAGCTTGCAGGTGATGGCGGTCTCATGCATCTGCTTGCCGTTCAGGGTTAGACAGTACTGTCTAAAGAGCTATGATGAATAGTTGCAACGCAGCCTGTAGATCATACAAACTGTTAGCACCTGTTGTGAAGGGAGAGAATTTTTAGGCAGAAATCACACCAAAGCAATGGACAGCTAAAGTTAAATAGACTGCGACTGACAGCACTGTTCTCTGTAAGGAAACATCAGCTTGAGATGGTTCTGCCTTCCTTCACAAGCAGAATTGTCATGTTTATACTGTACCATATCTGTTACCACTCTGTATACTAAACAAAGGGGTGTAGTGTGTCATACTAAACAGCCCTTGGGCATTGACAGGAAGGCTTGCCAGCTGGAAGTACATTAGAAATTCAGTGGCATCCTTAAGCCTTTATCTGTTTTAAATGGGTGACTCCT